GCCATGTGGGTACCGGGAATCAAACCCAGTCCTCTGAGAGCAGCAGTGCACGCAAGCACTGAAGCATCTCTCCAGCCCCATATAAAAATATTTTAAACAAAGTTACAACTGTAAACTTAAATCACTCTCATTGGATCCAAGGCACCTCCACAAATATATTTTCAAAAGAGCCAGAATAGTAGTTCGTGCCTGTAATCCCAGAATTCAGTGGACAGAGAATTTCCCCGAGTTCAAGGATAGCCTTGTCTACATAGTAAGTTCCAGGTCAGTCAAGGCTACACAGCAAGAGTCTGCCTTAAAATACATAACAACTCTTTAAAGAACAATCAAGTTCAAATTCTTTACAGTATGAAACTAAGGACCAGGGACAGGCATCATGGAAGTCTCCAACTCTAGGAGTACAAAAGCTTAGATATAAACGTGACAGAGAGGGAAAAAATGAGAGTAATTTAAGACATAAGAAGTAAATAGATAATTTGATTTGTTGAAAAAAAACATTTTTAAAGTTCTACATAAGATTTTCAAAGAATTTACATAAAGAATATTTATCAAAAACTCTTCTAGAGAAGCTGAAGAGATGACTTCGTGGTTGGGAGTCCCCACGTTCAGTCGGCAACACCCACATCTAGCACCTCACACCACCTTTAGCTCCAGCTGTTAGACTCTCTTCTGGACTCCTCCTGGGGCACCACACACACACACAATTTTTTTTAAAAAAAAAATCTAGAGAAAACTCATTTTTTAAAATTCTAGACATTATCATTATTTTATCTGTTTTTTTTTTTTCATGTTACCCATGTTGGCCTCAAGTCTGCGGACTTGCGAGAACTTCCTATCTGAGCCTCCCAAGTAGGGAGGGTTGCAAGCAAGAGCCACCAAGGCCAGCTTTCAGGTCATATTTTAGTCACAAAAACATGCAGCTGGGACAGGTTAAAACCAAAATTTGTTTTTTTTAATAACATATAACATTTTTGTTAGGAAAATTTTTACCAACTTTTTATTGTTGTTTTGTTTTTTCAAGACAGGGTTTCTCTGTGCATCCCCGACTGTCCTGGAACTTGCCCTGTTAACCAGGCTGGCCTCAAACTCAGAACTCAGAGATCTGCCTGCCTCTGCCTCCCAAGTCTTGGGATTAAAGGCATGTACTACCAAGCCCAGCTGCCAACTTTTATTTTAGTTATTTATATATAATTTTAGAAAAATCTTCTAACTACACTGGGCAAATCTAAACATCCTTAGAGCATATAAAATACCAAGGGAAGCTTAAGCTCTCAGCGAAGGCTTGTCGAACAGATAACCACACTCATATATTGAGTGAATTTTGTTAGTCACAATATTTTTATATCATATTAACTTATTTTCATCAAAATATAGTGGAAGAAATGCTGTTTTCAAGCAGACCCCTCACCGCTTATTGCCTCAGCATGTTCTAAAGATTTCAAGTTAGACATCAATCATAAATAATAGTAAGTAATTGCTCCTTGGAGGCCACTTATGGCTTTAAATCAAGTTTGCTCTCACTACTGAACAGGTTAAGGTTATAAATACTATTTGGATCGACTCTGCCAGTCTCAACATCCAATCAAATATCCAATACAAAGCATCAGCCCTTTTCTGTATAGCACAGAAAGGTCTGGGAGATTGGAGAAAAGAATTGTAGGAAACTCTTCAATCACAGTCCTTTAGGTGTCTTAGCAACGCTGCACTTAACTTTTGAGTCACTGTGATAAACTCTGCTTTTTTTTTTCTGCCAATGCTCTTTCTCCAGCTCCTGAGAGTTGTCTAATAGTCTTGTTGTAGTCCCTGCATTTACATACATAAACTTGGTACAGCAAGCAAATTCAGGCAAGGTACGGTATGCTGGCCATTTGAAATGTATCTGTGATGTAGCCCGAAGAGCTGCATCAGGGAATAATGTGTGCATGTCAATGCAGGACAAGTAAAGTATGTCTAGCTTAGAGACAATGTATATTTGGAATATTTATATCTTACAGTATGTGATAAACAAAGTCAGAAGATAAAAGTACCTTTCTGGTACTATTAAATCCAGTGTTCATTAATATATTTCAATGACTAACTCATGATAATCATTAAGTACATGCAAATGCACTACTCAAATAAATTGTTATGTATAGCTCATTTTGCCAGTAATATCATTCTAGCGAATTATCAAAGTATCTAAATAATTAATTTATTATGATAAGTATATAGATATATGTTATCTTATCAAGTATTATAATGCAGTGATCTTACTTTGCATAAAACATATATCCCTATAAGACTACATGAATAAATTCAATTTCTATAACTCAAATCTTAGAAATGTATCAAATTATATGAAATACTTTTAGCTTGTTAAAAAATCATATTATACCAGTTCATCATTTTCATATACCTAGCTTTAAAGTAAGATTCACTGATAATTGCTACACTGACAATACCAACTGCTAGATTTGCAATTATTCTAAAGTTCCTACAGAAAGGTCTAAGTTCTTGAAACAGAATGTACTTATTCATACTAAATGGTTTTGTTTGTTTTATTGAATTAAACGTACTTCCTTTTTTTTCCTTTCCTCTTCTTTTCTCTTCTTTTCTTCTCTGATTTGGGCCAGCCGCTGCTTCTTACGTTCCAACTCAGCTTTTAATTCACTTTTGTCCGACATGGTTGTGACCTTAAAAATCATACCAACATTTACAATAATCATTACATGGATTAAAGAAAGTAGCAGACTTAAAAAAATAATACTTGAAAAAATATGACAAGAATCTAAAAATTTCAATGCTACCTAAGAAAAACACACGTTATGTTTTTAAATAATAAAAACACAGGTACTTATACTATTAAGACACATGGAAAAAATTATGAACAAGTATTACCCGAAATTTGAGCACAACAGCTAGCACATAGTGGGTGCTTTAATGTTCCTAAGACCAAATTTAACAATGTCTCTCTCTGTAGCCAGGCTGGCCTTGAAATCATGACGTAGCCTAGGCTGTCTTCATGCCAGTCTTTCTATCTAAGACGCCGGTGAGCTGAGAGTTAGCCAGCACACCCAGATCCAAAGTTTTTTGATGACTCTGTATTTGATCAAGTCATAACTAGTGTTTAAAACAAAAGACAGGGTTGGCATTAAACTTATCTTAGAGTATGAGGGCTCACACCTGAAATCCCAGCTCTGCAGAAGCGGGACTGGAAGATTCTGAGTTCCAAGAGCATGGGCCATATAGCAAGACAGGTTTTTTAAAGAAGGTTTAGTCTTCAGCCAGGAATGCAAAAATATTAACAGATATTTCTGCATTTGTTCCTAGAAATTTGATAAAAAAGCTGAATGACTAAACGGAGAATTCCTAAAAATCCTGTAAGTTCCATTGATGGTCCATAACAATCAAACCAAATCATATTTTTCCACCCTTGCACCTTCTCGTGGCATTTTTTTTTACATGATTGTCTGTGAGTGTACCTGAAATGGTCCAAGTTGAACTGCCATCTATTTGAGCCTGGGACTGTGTTTTTGTCATTTTTATTACCTTCACAGCATGGCAACCGTAACATCAAAATGACAGTGGCTAAGTGAACCATGTGTAAAGTAGATGGAATTACAAACATGAACATGACTTCATATTGGGCATTAGGAAGGAGTGTGCTAAACTGAGATCTTTCTGAACTAGAAAAGCAACTTACAGGCTGAGTGTAAGATGGGAGCCAGGAATCTGTTACCTTAGCTACATTATTGGTTTAATCTGTCAGTGTCTGTCTTGGTACAATTTCAAGAATAAATATTTTAGATTTAGGAAACTGGGCAGATAACCTCTTAGGAGGAATCTCTTAGGAAACACAATAGATTTGGATTAAGTGCAAGTTGGTAAGGAGGCAAGATTCACCCACTGTAAATGCACAAGGGGGATTTTGATTACAGTATTCCAGAAGGACTGACAGGCCAGTGGACAAAAAATGGTGAGCAGGTGACAAGGGAAATCCCTTTTAATGTAATCATATAATATGTACCTTACATATACTCCCAGCCAAGTCACAAAGCAAGAGCCCGTATTTCTTCACCCACCCTTTCCAGGTCTCTGAAAAGCTTCACATTGTTAAGGGTTGTTGAAGGGAGCTTCCATACACATTACTCTGTATGCTAGGCTGGACGTATTCTTTTCTGTTTACGGTCAACTGTCAACAAGCATATCAATAAATACTACCTGCTACCTAGATTAAATAAGTATATCTTCAGTCAGCTCTATGATTGGCTTAGACAGGCCAGAGCCACTGCTCCGTGACTGATAGGTTCTTAAAACGCCGGGAAGAGGAAGGTGTCTAAAATGGTGTTAAAAACCTCTCAGTGTTCAGCGACCTCCAACACACACGCCAGGTGCTTGGACAAGCTACCAACCCAAGTAGTAGCGACCTTTAATCATACAACCAGGCAAAACTTAAGGAATTAGTTTCTCCCTGGGCTTAAGGCCAAGAGGACGCGGTCCCGGCTGGGTGTGTCCCGGAACCGCGGGGCCGATGCAGGGCAAGCCCCGAGGCATCGAGGCTACGACCCGAAGTGTTGAGGGGCCGCGGTGGCCTTCCCAGGCCTTCTAGAGTCACCAGGGCCGGCGCTGTCAGAACGATCAGCCGGCCGGCCCTGCGAGCTCCGACGCCACCACCGGAGGCAAAAGGGCCTTGAAGGAAGCGCGGCCGACCCACCTGTCAAGTGGCGGGGTGGAGAAAGCTTCCTCTGGCCGGTAACTTCCCGGGATCGTCCCTCTCCAACTGTCGCCACCGCAGATCCGTGGCGTCCCAGACACACAAAGAGGGATGGGCGGCGGCCGCTACGGCGAGAGCCAAGGGACAAACGGCTGCGCCGAGCCGCGGTCGCTCACAGAAGCAGAGTCGCGGCCGCCTGGTGGGGCTGGGCGGAGTCACTTACCTTTTGTAAAACAAGCTGACGGGTGAAACAGATCCACACCGGCCTCAGGATCCGAAGTGTTTCCGCTTTGGCAAAAGATGGACAACTGCACCTCACATCCTGGGGCGGAACCCACAACACCCGAGAGAACTACAAGCCCCGGCAACTAGACACATTGCTCGGTCATGGGACTTGTGGGCCTCCAATAGAGGCAAGGTATGCTGGGATATGTAGTCTGTCCTAACTTTTTGGTCCCCAGAATCTTAAAATGCCAATACGAACATTTCAGCGTCTGTCTTGAAAGTGTTTTCTTTGGTTTGCTCACAATGATGTATGTCTTGTTTCTTAAGATCCGTGGCCCAACATTAACAAAAATCTTAAGAAATGTTGTTTTCCATATTGAACCGGAGAAAGGGACACTTTTAAAAGCGTTTATAAACATGTACCTTACTTGTGGACAGAATTTTATCGAGTTTCGAGCACGGGTTTTAGGTGTATGTGTGTTCATTGAGGCTTCATGTAGCATGTACACACATCTAAATAAAAATATATTAATTAGCATATAAAATATTTTCTAGTATCTTATAGCAGAATACTTTTCTCTTAAAAGTATGTTTGGTAGGAAAGCATTTTATTCCTAGTGATGGTGGTTCAGTCCTTTAATCCCAGCACTCCGGAGGAGCTCTGTGAGTTCAAGGCCAGTCTGGTCTACCAAGGAAATTTCAAGACAGCCAGGGCTACAAAAAGAAATCCTGTCTCAAAACAAAACAAAATATAAAATTAAAAAAAAAACCAAAACCAAAAAACTATACTATTGGATCTGATTAGATTTTAAATATGCAGAAAATTATTGAAATATGAATTATCAGAAGTGTATGGGCTAACAGATGACTTGAAAAGTTTGTTTGAACAATTTGAAACATTATTTACCAATTATTAAAGCTAATACCAAAATATGATATTACTTATCTTCCAGAAAACTGACAAGAAGCACATTGCTAAAGTTTAGATTATCTTGAGTTTTAAGTTCTAAAATTTCAAAGGGTGTTTATTTAAACAACCTTTGCTTCCTTCTTTCCAAATATATAATTTCTGTCTCTTCACTTGAAAAAGCCCTTCTGAGTGTCACGGGGAATGGAGCTCCATTCTATAAGAACTAAAACCCATCCCCCTTCTTCAGGGAAAAAGACTGGGGGCTCCATTCAATGAACTGTTAAGACAGGATTGAGTAACTACGCCATAGAAACGGGTAAGAGAGGAAGAATTTCATGAAGAGATGATTCCAGAGACAAGTCTTTGATTCCAGAAGGTTGATTAGAAGTTAACCATGTAAATAAGATGCAGAAAGGTACCAGGGTACCACAGAAGGAAGAGGAGGAGGAGGAGAGAAAATAGTTAAAGCACAAAGATGAGATGGTAGAGAACGGAGAGGCGAAGAACTGAGGATTGAAGCCATGGGAAGGGCAAAGTCGCATATCCAGCTTAGACGGAGACCTACGGTGGTAAATGTAAGAAAAGAGTTTAAAAAGGAGAAAAGCATGATCGTGCTCAGATTTTGGGTAGTTCTTTGAAAATGATCTGGAGAAAGGCCAATTTACTGATGTTTTCTTTGTTCCTCAGATTCTTTCCTGCAGGGTGTGGTGTCACAGGCTGTATTCCCAGCTGGGGAGTGGGGAGCAGGGGCAGGCAGATCTCTGTGCGTTCAAGCCAGTCTGGTTTACATAGTGAGTTCTAGCAAAGTCAGGGCTACACAATAAAAAGACACTGTTTCAAAACAAAACAAAACAAAGCAAAAAAAAACAAAAAACACAATCAAAACAAACAAAAAAGAAGTCCCATCGGGGAAGGAGACAACAGCTGGAAGGTGAAGATGTTGTAATGGGTGTTGCTGGTCATTCATATAGGGAGTCACTGAGCTGGTCCTCTGGAATGAACCAAGAAATGAATGTCTGGGGGAAATGGAAGACTGAAGCTTGGAGAAAGAGAAGGTAACAGTTTTTCTTTTCTGGATGGGAGGTGTCCTACGGTCCTTAGTCCACTGACTGGACTCTGGCTGGGGTATTTTACAGAGACCCTGGTCCTCCCCTTGCCAGTACTGGTCCTGTTTAGATGCCATCCCCTAACCTGCTTTCCCAGTGTTCCTCCCAGTGTATCTTCCCAGGATAGAGGCTGGCATCTCAGGGAGACTACTTCACTCTCCTTGTCTACCCATGTTCCTCTAACCCTCCTTCAGTGTAACAGTTCTTCCCACCCTTTCCCCCTCTGAGTTACATTCCCAGCAATAATTTCATTCTACCAAGAAGTTCCACTTTATCTCCTGCCAGGTGGGTATCTTCTATGACTCTGGTTTTCACTGCAGTCTGGTAACTATTTTTTCCATTTATTTTTTTTTATTATCTGGTTTATCATAGTCATTCTATGTGTGCTACCTCATCCATTTCAAAAAAATTCTTACATGTATGTGTGTGCTCTTGTACTACAGTGCACAAGTGGAGATTAGAGGACAAATTACAGGAGTTTGTTCTCTTTTTCCACCAAGCCGGTACTGGGGATTGAACTCAGGGTCAGCAGGTTTGATGGCAAGTGCCTTTGCCCACAGAGTGATCTCTGTAGACAGAAGTTTCTAACCCACCCATTCCTGCAACCATTCGGTCCCCCAAGAAAACCACACAGAGGCTTATTTAATTTTAAACTGTTTGGCCTATTGCTCAGGCTTATTACTAACTAACTCTTACAATGTAAATTAACCCATAATTCTTTTCTAAGTTTAGCATTGTGTCTAAAAGCCTTGTGGCTTGGTACCTTTTCTCAGTAAGGCATTCTCATCTTGCTTTTCTCTGCATCTGGTCTGTGACTGCATCTTTGCCTTTCCTCTTCCCAGAATTCTTACAGTCTGGTCACTCACCTATACTTCCTGCCTGACTACTGGCCAATCAGCATTTTATTAAACCAATACAAGTGACAAATCTTTATAGTGTACAGGAGCATTATCCCATGGCAGATCTCCTTAGGCCCCGTTCCTCCCTTGTTTTCTCACCTCCTGCTGCTTAGCTCTCTGCACCCTGTCCTTACCCTCACTAATACAGCTCTCTCAGAGGGATGAGAGAAGAGAAGAGAAGAGAAGAGAAGAGAAGAGAAGAGAAGAGAAGAGAAGAGAAGAGAACAGAAGAGAACAGAAGAGAACAGAAGAGAACAGAAGAGAACAGAAGAGAGAGAGGAGGGGAGGGGAGGGGAGAGGAGAGGAGAAAAGAAGAGAGGAGAGAAGGAGAGAGGAGAAGAGAGGAGAGTTTGGAAGTAGAGGAAAATATTGGAAGATTTAGGGACGGAATCATAAAGGTATAAACCAAGGAATTTTTAGTAGAAACTATGAGAAATAGATCAGAGAAATGTTAAGGTTATACTAATACCCTGATAACAATAACGCATAGTAGGCACCCAACTGACTTTTCCATTGGATACCTGAAATTGTTAGATAAAATACCCTCCTACTTGTTTCAAGGTGCTTGAAAGGAAGTAGGAAATGCTTAGGATAAGGGAGAATAGGAGAGGTTTGGAGATATAATTCAGTGGAAGAGAGTTTGCCTAAATGAGTGTGATATCCTAAATTCATTCCCCAACATGAGGGCAAAGCAGGGTGAGATGCAATAGGTGAATGTCATAGCTTAACCTGGTCTTAGCTTAACTCCATGATCTTGTAGGGTAAGCACAAGACAGAAGTCCACCAATGCCTACTTCAAACAAAGTTTTAAAAGCACTCTAACCAATATATCTTTGATGGAAGAAATCTACCCCACCCCTAACTCCCGTTCTGGAAAATGTCCAGCAGCCCAACTTTCTGCGACACTGGAACCAGGCTGTCTCCCCTGAGAATAAGTTTATCATCAGGCTTTGTAGCCTAGAGTGGTCGTTATCAGATATAGTTCAGGAAAGAAAAACCAGAAACTGTAAACAGAGACTGTGCTTTCCTTTCCTGCCCGCCTAGACCCGAATAATCACAAAGAAACTATATTGATTACAACACAGCTTCATTGATGGCTCAGGTGTATTTCTAGCTAGCTCTTACATCTTAAATGAACTCATCTATTAGTCTATATATTGTCCCAAGGCCATGGCATTACCTCATTTTCTATATATCTTGTTTCCTCGGCAGCTGGCTGGCATATCCTTGGCTCTGCTACTGTCTCTGTATATCTCTGTTCAGGTTTCCTGCCTGGCTTTTCTCTGCTAAGTCACTAGCTTCATTAACCAATGGTAATAAAACATATTCATAGCATACAGAGGGGAATCCCACATCACCAGCCTTTTTCTGTCTAAATAAAAAGGAAGATTTTATTCTATCATCTGTTTTATCTTTGTGAGTCTAAAATTTCATATCTAATTTATCCTTTAGCATAACTAAGGAAAGCTATAATTGTAACTATCTAGTCTTCAACTCCATCAAAGACTCCGCAAGGATATAATATTACCTAAGTAAACAGGAAGTGCATTGTAAGCAACTTCCAAAGCTCTAGAATTAACAGAGATAGAATTGTATAGAATTGATAGAATTGACTCACTGCCTGGATAGTCACCCAAAGTTCTGTAAAGTTGGGGCATTCATCTTCAGCCTACAGGCCCATAGTATCTGGTAGACTTTTCCATGAAGTAGGAAGTTTGAGAGACAGTTTCGCCTATATTGGCAGTTTGTCAGTCACTTTCTTCTGTGCCCTGAAGAATTGTCTGGTAGACTCTTTCATGTAGCAGGAACCCTGAAGGACTATCTCACCTTCTTTTGGCAAGTTCAGCAGTCATTTCTCTGTGGGTCCTGCATGTCCAGTTCATACAGAATACCATCAATACAGTCTGGGCAAGAGCAGTTTCTTGCACAAATGGCTAACAAACTCCATAAGGAGCATCTTCAATGTCCATCATCTTTGTGAAGAAATTGGTGCTGCCAGAAGCAGATGTCTCACTGTCAAGAAAAGTCTAAGTTCTGAAAACCTTTTAAATGACATGCCTTTAAAATGTTGAATATTATCTAACTGAAATATATCTCTATATATCTAGAAAACCTAACTAAGAAGACTACAAGCTTAACTATTGTAAATGACTATCTATTAGTCTGTAATTTTTAATTATACATTATATATATTGGTTTTTCAAGACAGGGTTTCTGTGTAGCTTTGTAGCCTGTCCTGGAACTAGCTCTTGTAGCCCAGATTGGCCTTGAACTCACAGAAATCCACCTGCCTCTACCTCCCAAGTGCAGGGATTAAAGGTGTGTGCCACCAGCACCCAGCCCAATGACACCTTTTAAAAGATTATTTTTAATTGTGAGTATGTGTGTGTGTAGGGTGTATGCTTGTGAGTGCAGGCGCCTGCAGAGGCCAGAGGCATCATTTGGAGTCACAGATGGTAGTGGGCTGCATGATAAGGCTCCTGGGACGTGAACTCTGGTCCTCAGGAAGAGCCGTAAGTGCCCTTAGCTGGTGAGCAGTCTCTCTAGAGCCTAGCAATGGCATCATTTAGTATTTATCTGTATTGCCACTTGGTTCGATAAACTTTGCTAAAATGAAATATACTAAAGTTGAAGATACATTTCAGTGACTTTCTCACCAGGCAAAGAACATGTTTCCCAAGATCTTTGCATAAGTGTGTGATCTTTATTACTTCCCCCCCCCCCCGCATTAATTAGGGGGTCGTCTAAGATCTCACTTTGCTTATCCAAGTTCATGAGGCTCTGCCTCCGGGACTTAAAGATCGTTCATCTTTTAAATGTTAATAGCTCCTCCGAGCTGCTCGCGTTTTAAATTTTTTTTTTCCCCTAAATACTCTCACTTCACCTTCAGGAACTGTATTTGACCCTTTCAGAAACACTGACAGAAAAGAAATGTTTTCTCCCAACTTTGGAACTATCTTAACTTTCCCATTTCCTCTCATGGTAAGGACAGCAAAGCTCTTTAAGGAACCCTCTTCACTCAAGGGAGTGCTCATGAGCTGACCGGCAAGCCTCTCATAATATAATAGCATTACTTTTCTATTACCCTTATTATTCTTCCAGTCCGTATTTTTTTTTCTCTTCAGAGTGTTTGCTGCATTGTTAAGTTAATACGGGTTCTTTTCCCCCCATTATTTCCTCTACTTGTCTTGATGCACATATTTTCTCTCTTAGTGTCAAAATAAGGTGATGGTGAATTAGGAGTCCTTCCCGAGCTGAGGATACTTTTGTAATCTGGGAACCTTTGGCATGAAGCACATAGCCTAGGGAATGATGGAGCACTTAAGTGTGATTCACCACTGAACATTACAGAAAATAGGCTGAGGGGCTCAGAAATTCAAGGCAAGTTCCTTCTACTCAGCGTGGTGTATATACTGTACTCTCACACTTTTCCTCCCCCTATTATGTGGTTAAGAGAGAGGAGATAATGACGGCTTCCTAAAGTTACCCATAATGCTCTCAAAACTCTGTGAGGTGTAATGGTTTTAAAAGGCAGAATGAAAACACAGCTAGGAGATCAACACAAAAGGAATCATTTTCTGATAGCGACAGTGAGCCTGCATTCACACACACACACACACACACACACACACCTCCCATTAACTGTAATGGGAATTATGAGTGCCCCATTAAAGGAACTTACACCCTCTGGATGTGGTGAGGGGATGCTCATTCTCCCCTAGGCTTCTTGTATTGATTTAGTTTCTTGAGGTAGAATAAAATCATTAATTTTTTTTTCCCCTCAGAACTACTCCTGGATGCTCAGTATGCTCTCTTTGGAACACGGGGCATGCAGGACAACAATTACTAATCACGAAGCAAAATGCAGTTAACCACAGATAATGTGTAATATCTGAGCCATACCCAGATTGATTAATTTTCATGATGGAAGCATTGGCCTGTCATCTTCCCCTTTGAATAAATATTTATTCAACATTTGACCTTTCTGGGTTTAGGCAAATTTCAGAGTGGCTAAGATTTTCTTCATTAACGTGGAAATGATCTTTTAATTATTACAGCATGTTGATTAACAACATGCCCAGATTTGCATAAAAGGAAAGAAATGTAGATTTACTTAGTATGTTTCCAGCCAATATTTATCTCTAGATGAATATGGAAACCTCCATCACTGGCAGATACACGGGCTGCTTTGAGAATGTTGTGTTGGCCTGTGTCTAAATATATGCATGTGTGTCTATAGGCTCACACCCTTACACACTGAGAAATATTTACACAAACGTGGCATGGTCTCCTGAGCTTTCAAGTGGTGTATCCTGATCCCCGCTGGGTATCTCTGTAGCCCATGTCTCCATGGTATGACAGCCAGGCTCTCAAGCCATAGTTCTCACCTGAGGGGGTCACCGTAGCCTTCCAGACAGGCTGTCGCTACCCTAAAAAAGGGTCAGGATGTTGTTCTGCTCCTTCTTTGTAATTTGGATGCCTGAAAAGAGACATTAATTCAGTCTACGTGACCGAGCTGGCCTACAAAGCAGGGACATAGGAAGACGTGACAAAATGGGCATAGAAAGGTGTGGCAAAGGTGTGGACGTGACTAAAGCCATTCACCTGGTTACCTAGGAAACAGAATGCTAATGAATTTCCCCTTAGTTTACATTTTGGTGTGAAGGCTGTTTGGAGAATAAACACAGAGGAATTTTCAGGATGTGAACTCAGGATTTCATGAGGGATCACAGAGAATCTCCCTCCCAATAAAACCATGTGAGTTGTGTCTTTAATCCCATGCCTCCCCTCTGGTCTGGAGAAATAATTTAGGGTCCAGGCTGGCACTGGTCCCTGACATATCTCTTGCAGATTCCACAGGCTCCTCACACTCATCATGGGCAAGGCTTCCCAGCAAGCCTCTTCTATTCACAGACTTCCTGAAGGGATCTTCTAGTCCTCAGTTACTGAAGCCACAGGGGCATTAAGCACCATCTTCCCAATTCCACAGTCACACACTGACTGCTGTGGGTTTCGTGACTGGTACCTCGCCCATTATAGCACCTCATTTCCAGAGGTTCCAGCAGGGCCACTGTGGTGTTGTAGCGAGTATGAATCAAATCATCCTGAGACCACCTCGAGCACACGCAAATCCGGCGTGCAAGATCCAAGGTAGCTCCAGAGTCAGAGACACAATAAACTAGGGGAAGGTGAGGCAGTGGTGGTGATGGGGTGGGGTAAGATGATGAGCATGTTCCTAGGATTAGAAATGCAGGCAAGAACTTGGTCACACACGGCTAAAAAGGTAAACAAGGAAAATGTGAGGTGATGCCCAATACATTGTTTTCAAGCCATTGTAGAACAAAACAGTGGGCTAAAATAAGTGAATGTCCTACTTAGAAATTATTCCCGAGCCAGGCAAGGTGGCACACTGAAGGAATCAGATGATTCTGGGAGGAAATATTGTCATCAAATGGGTAGACACCACCCCCCACTACCCCAAGAGACCAACACTAGTGGGATCACCTCCAAGACAGACATAAGGATTGTGGTGTCAGGGATTTTGGGTCACTGAGACGAACTCCAGAATGTGGAAGAAATTAGAAAATCCTGAAGCAAACTGTTTGAATTTTATCAGTGCTTAAAGTGCTGTTAAGATTGAAGTCACCAAGTTAAGGAGAAGGGAATCAGCAGGTAATGATGGATTCCCCTCTGTATGCTGTGATTACCATTAATGAATAAAGAAATTGCTTTGGACCTATAGCAGGGCAGAACTTAGCTAGGTGGGGAAAACTAAACTGAATGCTGGGAGAAAGGAGGCAGAGTCAGAGGAGAAGCCATGTAGCCCCACTGGAGATAGATGCCGGAACTTTACCCAGTAAGCCACAGCCTCGTGGCGATACATAGATTACTAGAAATGGGTTAAAATAAGATGTAAGAGGTAGCCAATAAGAAGCTAGAGCTAATGAGCCAAGAAGTGATTTAATTAATACAGTTTCTGTGTGGTTATTTCGGATCTGAGCTGCCGGGAACAAGCAAGTGACCTCTTACTACAAGCAGGGGTTTGGAGAATAAACACAGAGGTCAAGAGTGGGTCTTGGGGTGAATATGATCAAAATACATCATACACATATATAAAATATAATGAAACCCATTATTGTAAATAATTAATGTGTGATAATACAAAGCTTAAAAAAAAAGACTATAGTCAGTGAACTGGGGAAATAGTTGAGTGATGTAGCATGTTCAAGACCCTGGATTAACTCATAGCAAAAAAAACTAAAGAAAAAGAAAAAAAGACTAGAGTCACCACTATAGAGATGTTTGTATCTATTAAGTGGGCTGTTCAACCAACTTTACAGGGAAAGGTTTGCTGTGGAACAATCTTTTTTACATGGTGAATATGTATTACTCTCATTGGTTAGCAAAGAGTTGACTGGCCAAGAGCTAGGCAGGGAAGGTGAGGCGGGACTTGTGAAAAAGACAACATGGGTTGGAAGAGGGCAGAGTCGCCAAGGGACATGGAGAGAAGCAAGGTGAATATGCTATGCTGAAAAAAGGAACTGCCACATGGTAGAGCGCAGATATAGGTGAATTCAATTCGAAAGAGCTAGTTAGTAACAAGCTTAAGCTACTAGCTTAAGCTTAATAAGTCTCTGTGTGGTTGTTTGAGGGTAGGCTGGTGGGACAAAGCTGGCCAGTGGTCCTGACGAAAAACTCTGCCTACAAATACTAGATGTGAAATTGAGTGCCCAACTGATAAAATTATGGCCGTATCTACTTTATATCCTGGTTTTTTTTTTTGTTTGTCTGTCTGGTTTTTTTGGGGGGGGTATCTTTTGTCTTTTGGTCATTCAAGGCAGGGTTCCTCTGTGTAATAGTTCTGGCTGTTCTGTAACTCTCTTTGTAGGCCAGGCTGGCCTTGAACTCACAGAGATTCTCTTCTGCCTCCCACGTGCTGGGATTAAAGGCATGCACCACCACCACTCAGTTCATCCTGGGGTTTTTAAAGATAGTTTCATTAGAGTAAAAGTTCAGCTGTCCGTAAACAACAGAGAACGCTGCTTCCTACTGGTTCTCAAGGACCCTTGTCCACAGTCCTGGGGCTTCCCAGGTACCTATCTGAGGCCTGTGTCCTGAGCCCGTCCAACCACATCCTCATTGATTTCCTCGTTTGTGGTCAGATGCTTTCCAGGTGTCTTATGTTCAAAGGCTTCTTCTCACCCTAGTCTCTGAAAAGCTGTCCTAACTTTTCACTCTGTTCCTTAGGTCTTACCCTAGTCTCTGTTTGTGTCTCCCTTCCTGCCTCCCTTCTTCCCACCTAGGTTAGCTAAGTCACATACAGGACTGTGACGTTTAGAGACAATATTCTATTCGTACGGCTCTTCATTCAAGGTTTATTCAAAAACCCTAGTAGGACATGATACACCCCTGTAATCCCAGCACTGGGGAGGCTGAGCAACGAGGATCACAGGTTCAAGGCCTGCCTGGGCTGCTCAACGAGACCTTGTCGCAGACAAACAAAAACATATACTAAGCATGTGCTAACAGCTCACGCTGTGTCACACGGAGTTTAGAGCCATGGGAGTATTGCACAAGGTGAACAGAAAGCAGGGTAGGTGTTCTGAGAAAGAAGGGGTCAAGGCTGCTTTGCAAGAGCAGCTAGCGCAGCCTTGTGCCCACAAGGTGCGTAGATGTTAGCAAACTCTCGCGATGAAAGCGGCTGGTAAAGGGCGGAGCTGAGGATAATATGGGCAAAGCCAGGGCCCATGTTACAAATGCTGGAGAGTTTTATACCGTTGGCGACCGGGAATCCCTGGTGCGTTTTACATCGCTGAGGTGCTCTAATTCATAGTTTTAAAGTATTTTGGTAGCTGAATGAAAGATGAACCGGTGGGGACTTAGAGCAGGGGTAGGGAAACCACTTAGCATCTTAAGTGAGAAACGATCAGATGAAGGAAGACATGGGAGAGTTGAGGACAGGCTCGAGGAAGATTTTAAAGCCGGTGATGTAAGATCGATGACTAATTTAGGGCATGGGGCACACCTGAGAGTTCGAAGTGGCATGTTAATTTGATTCAACATTCACTTAATGGGCTTGGGAGCCAAGCGATTTTCAATGAATACAATTTGAATATAGGAACAACTGAATATAGAGATTCTCATACTCGCTCTTGCTCTGCCACTAAAAGTCAGTGGTCTGAAAGAGATCACACATGGACCCAAGGTTAGGCAAGGGCTTCGGGGACAATGTGAAAACATTTAAATTTCAACCCGGAGTGTGGTGGCGCAGGCCTGTAAACCCAGCAGTTCCATGGTGCTCAGCAGTTTGTGAATTTGAGGCTAATCTTGGCTAGATAAGAACCCATCTCAAAACCACAATAATACACAAAAAAAATAGAATAGCACTAGAGATTTGGCATATTTGGTTACCTCAGACTCTTAATTGTGTATCTGACAACATCGAGGTTGTTTGGCAGATTTATAGATTGAAAGATTTTCATTCCACTTGGCTTCTGGGTTAATGGGCCCCTCCCTGTCCTCACCATACATTTCCTCACGAAGAAGCATGGTTTGTCTAGCCTAACTGGGTCTCAGGACTTAGCATCTGAAAGCAGCAAGAGCTAAAGCAACCAGCTCAAAGGAGTCAGTCTAGGACTGGGTAAAGAACATGAGGCCAAAGGACATTTTTCCTGGCAATGGCGCCTCTCAACTCCGGTACAGATGGACCATCCTATCGCCCAGCGCTTTCCTGCCCACCGGGGACACAGCTGTGCCTAACTGAGTCGCAACCACGCAATTTAAGAAGAATGCAGTTGATTTTTTTTCCCCAACCCTCTTATCAAAACCCAGTCCAAAGTCCTGACTTGAAGGCAGAAGTTTCAGTTTCACATGAAACCTGCTGAGGACTCAGAAATTCCGATCCTCCGAGGGAAAACGCGCTTGATCTGAACAGCGGTTTGCCCTGTCCGTCCGTTCCCCCAGCAACTCCCTCCCAGAT